AGTATTGGTTTAAAAATATGTTGTAACAGTTGCAATTGGAAAACTGAGTTTTTTTCATCTGCTACATTTTGTAAAAAAAATTTTCTTGAACAACAAGAGCCTAGTAAAAGCAAATGTAGTGGGCAAAAACCATTTGATATTAACACACGTGTCATTGTGGCTTTTCGTGAAATGGGTAAAGGGTTATCGTCATTAGAAAAATTTTGTGGAATAATGAATATGAAGCCACCTATGAACAAAAAAAGCTACAATAAAACTTTACATAACTTGTTAGATGTTTATCAAAATTTAGTTGACCAGAACATGAAAAATGCTGCTGATGAATTAATCCCTGCAGGTGAAACATTAAGAGACATTATGTGTAGCTTTGATGGTTCATGGCAAAAGCGTGGTTTTACTTTAAATAATGGAGTTGTTTCTGCAATTTCAGTTGAAAGTGGTAAATGTATTGACTTTCAAATAGAAACAAAAACATGTAAATTATGTTCAATATGGAAATTAAAAAAATACACACATCCAGTTGAATATGAAAAGTTCCAGTCATCACATTTTCAAAAGTGTAAAATTAGTGATACTGGATCATCATCGGCTATGGAATCAAGTGGTGTTTTAAAACTTTTTCATCGTTCTGAAAAAAAAAAACAATTTAAGGTATACCACATATCTTGGTGACGGAGATAGTAGTTCTTATACCAGTGTTGTTGCTGCTAAACCTTATGGACATAATGTAGAAATTAAAAAAGCAGAGTGCACTGGTCATATTCAAAAAAGAGTTGGCACGCGTTTAAGAAACTTAAAAAAAAGCAGCAAAGAAATTTTAAGTGATGTTAAAAAACTAGGAGGAGCAGGTTGTTTGACAGAAAATGTTGTTAACACATTGCAAAATTACTATGGCAAAGCAATCAGACAAAATATTGGTAGTTTATATGCAATGAAAAAAAGTGTAGCAGCTACTCTTTTTCACTGTTCTGAAAGTTACGACAATGAAACACCCCATCAATTTTGTTTGCGCACTAAGGATTCTTGGTGCAAATTCCAGGCTGATAAAATAACTGGAAAAAAAACGTACAAAGAAAATATTTGTATTCCTGCTGCTGTGAGGGATTTTATAAAACCAATATTTATAGATCTTGGTAGTGATGTTCTTTTAGAAAAGTGTTTCCACGGCAAAACACAGAATCCTAATGAGGTTCTGAATCAATTGATTTGGAAACGATGTCCCAACGATATATTTGTAGAAAGAACTGCTTTATGTGTTGGAGTAGCATCAGCTGTCCTATACTTTAATAATGGACTACAATTTTTAGAGACATTATTTGATAAGCTTGAAATAACAGTAGGTTGCAATCTACATAACTTTTGTCTTATAAATGACTCTAAGCGCATTTCTAAAGCAGAAAAACAATGCACAAGTATAGCTAAATTGAGACGCAAGAAACTAAGAGCTATACAAAAAGGTTTTTGTGATCAAAACGAAATATTAGAAGGTGCAGTTTATGGAAGTGGGGAGTTTTGAACAATTTTTTTTGTTTTTATTTTTAAATTGAGTTTTTCTTAAAATCATGTTTTTTACTCTGGCAATGGAGATTATTTTCAAACCGATAACCGATTTGATCTGAAATTTGGCACACTTGTTTGTAACACATGTATTTGCAACCTCTACTAGAATTATGTTTACAGCTAATTGTGTTCTACTTTTGTGAGTGATTTTGTGTTCTCAAATAACACCAAAACTTCCAAATATGACTAAAATGCATATATTTTGACTTTTTTTAGTCTAAATCCAAAACTTTTAGTGTATGTTGTTATTGCATAAGTAAAGGATCACAAGCCAAAATTTCAGTTCAAATTTATTTACGGTTGCTGAAAAAACCCTGTCGCCAGTTATTCATTTTTAGGCTTTTGTCTGTCAATAATTATGCGCATAATTAGTTTTTTTAATTTTTTAAATTTTTACTTATATTTTAATCATATAATATATGTTATGCACTATTAATAATTGAAAAAAAAGTTAAATTGCAAGATTTTTTTTTAATGGTATACTACCACTATAATATAAACATTAATATATTTGTAATGATGCGGTCTTCTTAAATATGCTGGGAAATTACGCCAACGTAATTTTTAAGATAATAATATAATATTTTGTGGTTTTGAATTTTATATAAAAAATTGATGATAATTGTAAATAATAGATTCGCAGCCATATGTAAATAAAACAACTATAAACAAACCTATTGCACATCCTAACATCGGGTGCAATCCTGTCCGCTTTCTCTATGCTATCTTTCTAACACGACTTCTTCTGTCTTTCACTCTAACATATTTTCGTTCTTCCTAAACTCACCTTACTCTTGGTCCGTAGAGCGGGTTATGACGCTCCTTGGGGAGCCGAACCTGTCTTTGCGGTACCTTGGTAATGTGGCCTCTATATGGCAATTAGCTGGAGGAGGATAAACCACAATACCAAACAACTAAAAACAAATCTATTGCACCTCCTAACATAAAGTGCAATCCTGTCCGCTTTTTTTATGCTATCTTTCTAACACGATTACTTCTGTCTTTCACTCTAACATATTTTCGTTCTTCCTAAACTCACCTTACTCTTGGTCCGTTTAGCGGATTATGACGCTCCTTGGGGAGCCAAACCTGTCTTTGCGGTACTTTGGTAATGTGGCCTCTATATGGCAATTAGCCGGAGGAGGATAAACCACAATACCAAACAAAATAAACAAACGAGTGAATTTATTAGTGTTACTGGGAAACGTTTAATAATTCCCAACACTAAAAGGTGGGGACCGAAGGAACCTACAAATAATCGAAATGGATCAAGAGCGAAATTATCAGAGGGAGATCAACATGTTGATTATAAACATTAAATGCATAGAACGCAACACCGCAAGCAGCGACAAATCAAGCATAATCTTGACTTTAGACAAAATAACAAATTTGTGGGCAAGATTTGAAATGGCAAAAGATGAGCTGACCAGAAAAATGCCGGATGATGGCAAAAGCATTGATACGGTTGAAGAATGGTTATCGAAACTATTAGCGGAAGTTGAAGCAGTGAATGCAATTAAAAACGAAATCGTCAATAAGTTGGATCTAATAAATAAAAACGAATGCGTCAAGAAACAATTTATGGAACACCAGTTAACAATCCAAAAAGAAGCGGAACAAGCTTCATTGCAAAAATTTCAAAACGAAGAAGAATGGTATCTAAGGAAGGTAAAAACAAAAGAAACATTGCGTAAATCTGTTGAAAACAATAACAAAGCTGTTCAGCAATCCGTCAAGCTTCAAAAGTATACTATTACAAAATTTGATGGCGATTATAAAGACTGGTTACGATTTTGGAATCAATTCACGGTGGAAGTCGATAACTTTAACATATCAAACATTAGCAAATTCAATTACTTAATGGAACTCGTCGAAGGAAAACCTAGAGAGGACATACTTGGTTTACCACACTCGTTGAAAGGATACGAAGAAGCCAAGCGTATAATACAAGACACTTATGGAAAAGATATTTGGATTTACAAAGCATTGATTAAAGATCTTGAAAGAATGATGGCTATACACAATACGCACAAAATTAAAGAAGTTCACGATTTTTATAATAAACTTGCAAGAACAGTGCAAACATTAAAAACGATGCACAAACTAAAAACTGCTCAATCATTTGTGTATTCATTAATGGATAAACTTGGACCGGTTCGTGAAATAATCACACAAAACGATGATGGATGGGAAGAATGGGGACTGGAGCAACGCGTTGAAAAGTTACAAAAATACATAGAAAGAAATCCATTGAACTCCGATTTCAACATTGAACAAATAAAATACGATTAAAAGAACCCAAACGTACAGTCAAGGTCTTATGAAAACAGAATCAGTGCATTCAAGCAACATAATAGTGGTAATTATGATAAATGAATGATGACAAGTGTTGGTAAAAATGAATGTATCTACTGTGGGTTGCGAAATCACAAAAGCGAAAGTTGTATAAAAGTGTTAAACGTTGCTAGACGCAAGGAGATTTTAAAAAACAAAAGATTATGTTACAACTGCATTGGTTATGAACATTCCGCGGCAAATTATCAATCAAGAGGATGCAGAAAGTGTAACAAAAAACATCACACGTCAATTTGTCAAAATGAAAATGCAACAATGGACTATAAAAAAGAAACCATGGGAACGGTGTTTAATGCGAGTACAACTGTTCACCCGACAGTAATGGCAAAGGTAAATGGTGAAAAAGCAAGGATTATGTTGGATACGGGTGCTGGAAGTTCTTATATATGTACAAACTTGATAACAAAACTGAAGTTGAAATCTACACAAAGGGAACATAAAACCATCAAACAACTATATAGAACGGTAAACAAACGTGTGGAAATATATAATGTTACGCTAGAATCAATAACAATTCCGGAATTTCACATCAAGATTGAATGCATCAACTCAGAAAAGGAAATACTGACCTTAAAGGGAGGTAAAAAAGCAATTTGCTAGACTTAGGAGACTGAAATTTAGTAATGATGGAGAAGACGATGAAATACAACCTGTTCACATAATACTTGGTGCTGCTGATTATCAACGAATAAAAACTACCGAGCCGATGGTTCTCGGAAAAAAATTCGGTTAAAGATCCCGGAGCTGAATTGACTGTGTTTGGATGGACTCTCTCTGGGATACAAATGGAATTAAGCTCTGGTATTAAAAAGGGTTTTTTATTAAACACTGGTCGTGATGAGTTCGAGCAAATGTGCAAATGTCTTGAAGTTCTTGGATTGTCAGACACAAACAATGAATCAATGTTTCACCAAGACTTTAGCGAAAAGCTGCACCAAACAAACGAAGGTTATTATGAAACTAGAATGCCTTTGAAAAAAGATGTTGTTAAACTGCCGAACAACAGAGATCTGGCAATTAAATGATTAAAAAGTACAACAAATCGATTGGAAAAACTTAACAAACTAGAGCAGTATAATGAAATAATGATGGAACAGATCAGTGAGGGAATACTGGAAAAAGTGCCAGAAAAAACTACGGGAGATATTGTTCATTACATTCCTCATCAAGCTGTAATCAAGGAAAATGCTGAGTCAACAAAAATGCGAGTTGTTTATGATTGTTCAGCAAGAAAAGTGGAAAGAAGTGGGACCTTCGCTGCAACCTCTAATATTTGACATTCTAATACGAAATCGGATGAACAAACTCTGCGTTTTAGTTGACATTAAGAAAGCATTTCTACAAATCCGAATTCAAGATATGGATAGAGACGCACAACGAATAATTTGGTATGAAGACTTAAAGAAAATGAAATTAATGGAGTTACGATTTACAAGAGTAATTTTTGGTTCCAGTTCAAGTCCGTACATTCTCGGCGCTACGATTAAAAAACATATCAAAATACAAGGATATTTATCCGAAGACAGTAGTTGCTTTGGAAGAAGATACTTATGTCGATGATCTTCAAGCGGGTGGAGAAACGGAAGAAGAACTTATCAGGTTTAAATATGAATCAACACAAATCTTGAACGAAGCTGGTTTTCAATTGCACAAATGGCATAGCAACGTGAGAAAATTGGAAAATAATGTTGAAGACAAATCAACAAAAATACTTGGACATCCTTGGAGCAAGGAAACAGATCAATTGTCAATTGAATTCACTACTTGCATCAATAACGGATATAAAGAAAATTTAACAAAAAGAAAAATGCTATCTGCAATCAACAGTGTTTTTGACGTATTGGGATTTAGTGCGCCTGTGTTAATCACTGGAAAAATACTGTATAGTCGACTATGCTTATCAAAAATTGGATGGGATCATCAACTACCAAAGGAACTTTTGGAAGAATGGCAAACTTGGATTAAGACGATAAGCAACAAAAGAACTATATTGATTCCTCGGTGTGTTGTGTCCAGAAGAATTATTGAACTAGAGCTCCACGGATTCTCAGATACAAGTAAATTAGCGGTATCTACATGCATCTATGTTGTAACGAGCCAACAAAATTCGAAAACGAGCAACTTACTTGTAGCAAAAGTACAGATTGCACCAAAGGATCTAAGTATTCCAAGACTTGAGCTAGTAGCTGCACATACCTTAAGCAAGTTGATGAACCATGTCAGGAAAACATTAGTCAATTATAACATTAGTAAAGTTTTTAATTGGGTTGACAGCACTGCTGTACTTTATTGGCTGAAGGAAAGAAGCAGTTGGTCACAGTTTGTAAGAAACCGAGTTCAGCAAATCTTATTAAATGAAGAAGTAAAATGGCTTTATGTCCCAACAAAAGAAAACCCTAGCGATCTTGGAACAAGAGGAGTGAGTCCGGAAAAGTTATCAAGCTTGTGGTTCAATGGTCCAATATGGTTGAGTTATAAAGAAAATTGGCCAAACCAATCGGAAATATTTGACAACTCATATGGCACATTATGTGAAAGTATTGCTCTAAAGGAAAACGTCTGGATGGTAACAGAAGAAATAAAGGAAAATCTTACTTTTGAAGAATTGTGGAAAAAATATAATTATTGGAAGATTTTAAGGATATCGTTGTCAATAAAAAGGTTCATTTACAATTGTCTCAATAAAGAAAAAATAGTCGGATCAATAAAAACGGAAGAGATGATAGAAGCCGAAACGGTCAATATTAAACATCTACAAAGATCTGTTGTGCTAAAAACCGATGTGGAACTTAAAGAGGATGTAAAAAACAAAGCACTTCTAAATATTGGACGAGTTGAAATCGAAATCAAAGGAAAAAATGGAAAAAGGAAAAGAATTACGCGTGGCTTAAAAATACGATTGGGGAACGGTTATGTTATTGAACGACCAATTCAACTGGTGGGTGACCTGGAAATCGATTTTAAGACAGAGAGTATGATTGAATCTAAAAAGAACGTGGAAATTGGTAAAAATATGGAAACCCTAAAAAGAGTACCAAGAAGGGCGAACTTAGATGCAAGACAAAAAATCAGTTGCATTATGGAAGACGAGATGGCTGAATAAAGCCGAAGTCTCAGCTTTAATCGGGGGAGTGTGTTGTGGATTACGTCTTAGTAGCAAAAATTAGAGGTTGCATCTTAATATAAACATTAATATATTTGTAATGATGCGGTCTTCTTAAAGATACTGGGAAATTACGCCAACGTAATTTTTAAGATAGTAATATAATATTTTGTGATTTTGAATTTTTTATAAAAAATGGATGATAATTGTAAATAATAGATTCGCAATCATATGTAAATAAAACAAAATAATCAAACAAGTGAGTTCATTAGTGTCACTGGGAAAACGTTTAATAATTCCCCACAAAAATTAAATTTAAGCTTTAAAGAAGTTCGACCATTTTTTTAGTGAATAAAACATGAAACTCTGCATTTGCATTAAATTATCTTTTAAATGTTCATAAAAAAGGCCTGAGAAGAAAAATTACTTGTTTGTTTTTAAGAAATCTACTTTGAACAAATAAATCAAACTAGATTTTCTCTAAACACTTATTTTAAGACTTCAGTTCTTTTTTTTCTAACCCCTCATATAACCTATGATTTTTAAAGTTTTAAAAAATTAGTCACTTTGCTTTAACTCGTATTTTAAAAATGTACCCATTTCCTGTTCTCATAAGGTCGCGGTATATTCGTCACGAAATGTTAAGTCTAATTATTTTTAATATTTGTTTTAAATAAAACCTGTTTTAGTTAAAACAAATAATGTAGTTATTATGAAAATTAGTAATGATTTTGAGAAATCATTATACATAGTTATATTAACTATGCCAATATTGCTTAGGTAAGCACAAGCAAAAGTAAATTGCAACTTCTTTATCATCGTCATAAACACGCTATGCGTTTAATAGATTTTTATAATCGTTTAACGCATTTAAATTTTTTATTTAAAGATGCGAATGTCCTTAATGTATATCAACTCAAAATTTATAAAAATTTTGAGTTTTTGTTTTAATGTAAAGTTTCAATGTAACGATGACTCAAAACTATCTATTTTTAAAGATTTTTTTATCAAAAAAAATAGACGAATATATTTTGTAAAATGATAATTTTTTAAATGAACCACTTTGTCGCACAAAGTTTAATCGATTCTGTATTGAATATCGTGCACTTTATCTCTGGAACAAAATTGTTTTGAATAATTTTGATTTATCAACTTCATTTGAGCTTTTTAAAAATAAACTAAAAAAATTTATTTTTTCTATAAACGATATAATGAATTGCTTCTAATTTGCAATAACGCACTGTATAATATTTAATTTTTTGTTTATTTTTGTTGTTGTTGTTGCTTTTACGCTTTTAAAAGGTTCTAATAACAAGATCAATGAGATCTTCTATCAGAAACCTTGTTTATATTTGTAAAGCTTTTATTTATAATGTTATTTATATAATAATTGTATTACGATTTATATGATTGGGAACTGTAACACGATATAAACAAAAAAAAAATACAAAAAAAAAAAAAAAAAAAAGTATTTAATTCAAATAATATTTAAAAAAGTTAGCGAAATTTTTGTACCTAAAGTCGGATTTTTTTAATGCCTTAATTTTCAAAGCCCCGAACTTATCTAAAAATGGTGAAACTGATTTGATTTCTAAATACTTTGTATTAATATAGGTATAATGGCTTAAAATATAAAAGTCCGTCACGAGGCCCTAGGTACAAAAAGCTTTTTTTAAATTGTACTTAGGGCCATTAGTTATTGTACCTAGGGCCGCGCTCTGAAAGTTAGGTTTAGCTCCATAATAAAGTCTACGCGTAAAATAATAACGCAAAAAAAAAAAAATAATAATAATAATAATAACAATAAAAAAAATATTGTTAATAATAAAAACAAATCTGGTGCCTAATCAACTAAACATTGTTGTTTGTCTTATGGTGATTAAAATTCGATTATTAAGTTACAACATTAAATTTTTAACTTATTTTAAATTTTTTTCCTGTTTTCCTTTTTCGATTTTGTTCATTAAACGATTTATTTTAACTTTTTTTTTGTATCTTTGTTTACAACATCTTTATTTACTCATTGACTGAAGGCTGGAACTCAAATCTTTCAATAATTTTTTGTGCTCAGTTAACACCAAGGCTCCCTATTATAAATAAAAAATAAAAAAAATAAAACAAAGTAACTTTAAATTACATTTTAAAACTTGACAAGATAAAATAATAGAAACTACATAATATTTACATGTAAAAAAATGGTTTTGTAAAAAAAAATATGTTTGCATGAAAAACAAACTTATTTATGATTTTACTATAAAATGCGAAGTATGTAAAAATAAAAAAAACAATAAACAGAACAAAAAATAAAATATTTAATAAGAACCTAATAAAAAAACAATTAAAAGCAGTTGAGATAAAAAAACAATTAAAAGCACTCACATAAGTGAGTTTAATTGTTACTCTTTCGTTACAAAAAGTAACAACCTGGACCAGGGGCTCCAAATATATATATGTTTATACTTATGTCAAATAAGGATGCTTTGCAAAAAATTGCGATGATTGGAGGCTGGGAATAAAAAAGCCCCAAAGTTTTCTCCCCCCTGCCGCAAACGTGAGACAAACAAGTTGATAAAATATTTTTTGTACTATTCTCAACTAGATTTGAATTTATTTCTAAATTTTAAATTTAATAGTAAAATATTTTAGCGTTCAAAAGTTAAGACCATATAAAGTTTAAACCCCTCTCAATTTAAGGCGGTTGCAATTTTTATATGGTCATAATTTTTGAACGCTGAGAGATAATACTATAAAACTTAAAATTTATCGATGAATTTAAGTCTAGTTTAGAATAGTACAAAAAATATTTCATCAACTTGTTGCTCTCACGTTTGCGGCAGAGGGGAGAAAACTTTGGGGCTTTTTTATTCCCAGCCTCCAATCATCGCAATTTTTTGCAAAGCATCTTTATTTGACATAAGTATGAACATATAAATGTTTTGAGTTTTCTCTATGTCTAGAAGATAGCTCAAAGATTAAAAAATGCTGGATCCTCCTCTGACCTGGACCACCTAACTCGCTGTTATATAACCCAGATTTTTAAAAACTGCTTCTAATTGTTTTTTTGTTTGTTCATTTGTTTGTTTTTTTCTTCGTTTTTCACGCTACATTTTAATAAAAAAAATAAATAAATGTAAAGTAAAAAAGTTAATGCAATAAAATTTAATGAACAAAAGAAAAAACAAAATATAAAATAAAAATTATACCTCATCAACTAAATAGTCTGTTTTCATTTTTAAATCTACTTGGAATTTTTGAATAAAATCCAATTGCCTTCCTATTTTCTCAAGCATTGCTAATACCTGATTAGCGTCTTCCTCGTCTACTTGCTCATACACGACCTAGAAAAATTAACAAAAATTATACAAACTGTTGTTTTGAATAAACTTTAGACTGTTGTTTTTAGTGCAAATAATTTTGAAAAATAAATCGTACTTCAGGAGAACACTTTTTTGCAATAGTCTTTTGAACGGTATTCCTATCTTTTTTTCTCATTTTTTTTTCAGCAATAACTAATGCTTCTGCCTGTAACATGTACGCCGTCGCTGTTGCATTTGAAAACACTCTTGAAAAGGTATTTGAAAGCAACCCAATATAAAGATTCATCAATGTTATCGACATTAATGCAAAAAACGTACCAGTTATTATTTGAGCAACTATTTTTTCTGTTGAGCCTACTGTTCCTGAATCAGCTGATGTTGGTGCATTGTACGTATAAAGTGGTGTATAGTCAAAGTTATCTGTAACAGTCATACGTAGTAGTTCAAACATTACATCGTCAAAGTAAGTGTAAGGATATTGTGAACCCTGAAATACCTCATGAGGTCCTCCAAATATAATCCATATTGTGCATGCATATGGAATTAAAAATTCCAAAAATAAAAATGCAAATTTTACCGTTTCTTCAGCAATACAACCAAACATGGCGATAAATGGACCAAGTGTTATAAAAGGACGAAAAGCAGACATAAATCTTAGCCATATTATAAATAGTATAACAGGAAATGCATAATAATGAGCTTTTAGCGTAATTAAGTATTTATTGTCCACTTCTTTAAGGCTAATCAACATGATTCGTGTTATGCTCAAAAATACAAGTCCAACATAACAAAGCACATCAAGCATAAACCATACATCATAGAATGAACCCATTGTTTCTGATTTGATATTGACTTCTTCCTCGTTTATGACTTTTTGTTCTTGTGGCCAGCGAGGATGACAAAAGTTTAAATCACGTCTTAGCTCTTGTAAACGAGAAACTTTGAAATCTTTGAAATTTCTTTTGACAATCATAAATTGAATTCTTGTCTAAAGAAATCCTGAAATTTTAAAATTTTGTGTAAATGATATACATATAGCAACGTCTTAAATGCAATAAAAGAAATTTAGACAAACTTTTAGAATTAGTATAAATCATACAAATTTTTCCAGAAGCAAATTACCCTCTGAAAATCTATCGCCAATTTCAAACCAATAAGAGAGGCCGTTAAATGTCTATATATTTTTTATACTGGCCGAATTGCAAGTTTCCACTTAATGGAACCAAAAAAATTAATATACAATTTTTAAACATAATTAAAATTGGTAAGCAAGTTATAAAGGTGCATAGGCACCTTTATAACTCGAGTAATTTACTCTTTATATCTGAGCACAAGCACTATTATAAAGCCACACTACGGGCATTTGTTTTTAAAAGTTACGTTCTAAATGTCTTTTAAACGTTTTTTGAACGTCTTTTAAACGTTCTTTATGAAAGAATGTTTAGAAGAAGTTTAAAAAACATTTAAAAGACATTTAGGAAGTAAATTTTAAAAAACAAATGCCCGCTGGGTAAAGTGTGAAATACTATATTAATTAACAATACTTTCTATAATTTCAGTATAATCATAAAATTATACACTTTTGAAAAAAAAGGGTTGATCGTTACAAAATACAAAAATTTAAATGTTTTTAAATACCTGAATGAAAAAGTATACAGCTAGTAGCAAACCTAAAATCTCTAAAACAAATCTCCAGCTATTTTTATTATACGGGGTATAGAACTCCACTCGAAATATGCTTGCACCAATTGATTCGGATGAATTGGTTAAATTGGTTGAAGTTGTGCTGGTAAAACTATTAGAATCGGTTGAAGTTGTGCTAGATAAAATAATAATATTGGCAGAACTTGTATTGGTTAAAACATAGTTCATTGAAGTTATACTGTCTGAGCTTGAGCCAATAAAATCGGTTGATGTTATGCTAGTTGAGCCAATAAAGTTTGTAGTCACACTCTCAGAAGTTGAATTGGTGATTACTAAATTAGTCATTTTTGTATTTGGATTTGTAGTTGCACTTTGATTTGAATCAGTTAAAGGTGAATTTGCAAAGTTGTAATAAGGAAGAGTAACAGTAAGCGCTGTCCAAAGTACAGTAAACAGAAGATTTATTAAAAACATAAAAATAAAATAACGTCGACCAAATAACTGAGTTTTTTTTTGGATTAACCTTTGAATAACTGGATGCATAATTAATGTCGAATCTTTAAATTTTACTATAACCTATAAAAAATTCTCAAAACCAATTATTTACAAATTTTGTAATATATTTAATAATAATGATTCAATATAGTTACCCATACCTCTAAAGGCTCTCTTACAAATACCATTCGATGACTTTTTTTTAATAACTTTCTATTCATTTTCCATTTTTTCTTCTCCAAGTAACCTAAGTAAAAAAATGTTGTTCTGGTTCCTTTATTAATTTTTTGAAATTGATCCAAAGCCTCAGCAGCTACGTCAGGTAGTTTTTCAATCAAATGTGTAAGACATGACATTCCAGTATCATCATAAACACCTGCTGGTGCTCCATACTGCAAAAGAAGTCGACAAGACTCCTCACGCCCTATATGTATTAATATGAATGACTATATATATGCATAAATGTATACATATAAATATATTTTATATGTATAAATATATATATATATATCTTTATATATATACATATATATATATATATATATATATATATATATATATATATATATATATATATATATATATATATATATATATATATATATATATATATATATATATATATATATATTTACATACATACATATATATATATATATATATATATATATATATATATATATATATATATATATATATATATATAATATATATATATATATATAATATATATATATATATATATAATATATATATATATTATATATATATATATATATATATATATATATATATATATATATATATATATACATACATATATATATATATATATATATATATATATATATATATATATATATATATATATATATATATATGTATATACAGTATCGGACAAAACATTTGCAACCAACATCGAACAATGCTAAAAAGTGTTTCTAATTTTACATGTCTTAAAAACGAAACGAACTATACTACCACAGCAAACAGTTGAGGAGTCTGGAGTCATAGCATGCCATGACATGAGCAATCAGCTGACAGGTGACAGCACACAGACAGAATTTCGTTGACAAGTGCCATTTTGCAGCGGACAAAACAAGTGCAAATTTTTTGGTTTGTTTAATTTTCTTAAGTCTTGTCCGTGTCGACGTCACGGAAGTTTTTAATAATCAAAGGAAGTATCCAGAAGATTTCAGAAGCTTGCATAAGCTTTCAGAAGTTTCCAGAATAAGCATCTGGAAGCATCCAGACGCATCCAGAAGCTTCCAGAAACATCGAAGGGAGCATCTAAAATCTTCCAGCACAGGTTTACACAGGTTCATTTTACTATAAAAGAGACATGTAAACCGACATGTAATTCAGTCAGTATATGGAAGTCAATCAGTCAATATTATCAAGACAGTTTATCGAAGTGAGTTTTATCAAAGTGTTTTATCGAAGAACATCAATACAAGAAGTGAAATACAACAAGTGTTTTATTACATCAATACAGTCCACATCTAACCATGACGTTGTGTTCCACAGAGCATTATTGTATCATCACAAGGTAAATGTAACATGGTAAGCCTTGAAAAGCGTGATTATTTATTTTTATTATTTTTAAGACTTCATGTGAAAAAATGGACCGTATCAAGACTATGTTCCAAATATCGTTCTACGGGGAAGTTGGCAGCAGATAACAAAGGTGGATGACCGCGTTCCACCACTTCTAGAGAGGATTCTATGATTGTCAGATCCGTCAAGGAGGATCCCTGGATATCATCAGTCGAGATACAAAAGCAATTAGAGCTATTTTTTTAGCTTGATGCAATTAATTTGCAAAATACTGTATCACAAGCAAACAATGCCACCTTAAATGTGAAAATATCTGGAAGATTGTTAATGCAAATTTAAAAGAGTATAGGGCCAAGGTTTGAACCTTGAGAAAACCTTGAAGTTACAAAATATGAAGAAGAGTGCTGTCCACTGAGGACAACTTTTATACTACAATTGGAAAGAAAGGATTTAATAATTTTAATGATATTACCAGATACACCGTAAGAAAAAAGCTTATGGAGAAGACCAGCATGTTAAACCTTATCAAAAGCTTTAGAAATGTCAAGAGCAATGGCCTTAACCTCTCCATCTTTATCTTATGCACGATAAAACCTATCAGTAATTACTGTTAGCAAACCAGCTATAAAACGAGAAGATTGAAATCCGTATGATCAGAGAGTAAGTTATTAGATTCAAGATGAGATATTAAATGTTTGTTAATTAAATATTCAAAAACCTTGCTTATGATAGGAAGAAGACTGATGTGACGATAATTAGACGAATCAGCTCGCTCTGTAAAATTTTTAAAAACAAGGATAACAGATGCTGCTTTCCAGAAGGCTGGAAAATAAGACTCTGACAAGCACTTGTTAAATAGTTTTGAGAAGTATACACGACAACTCCGGAGAACACTTTTGCAAGACTATAATAGATATGTTGTCCGGACCACAAGCTGTAGAAGTCTAAGCAAGAAATCACTTTAGATACAGAAGGTGGAGTGATACTAATGTCAAGCAATGAATCAACTTGTTTGACGGCTAAATCAGGTAGAACACAACTAGTGGAATCAAGAGATGATATTGATAAAAAGTTCTCAGCAAACAGTTCATCTTTGTCTTTTGGTGAGATGAAAATGTCTGAACCCTACAAGGGAGGTGGAATAACAGATTTGCCCTTATTATTGATACTATTAAAGATTCTCCAGAAGTCACTAGAGCCTTATAATTGTAATGAAATACGAGATTTCATTGCCTGAGAACAGCGGGCTTTGACGTTAGACAAAACCTTTTTACAATAGTTTCTACCATTAAAAAACAGATGTCTGTTTTCTGGACAATGGTTTTCCTGATAGATATGGAAGTAACGGTTTCGATTGGAAATTGCAGCACAATGTCAGGAAAGCCGTGGAGAAGAGTGAGGCTTGACTTGGTATCATCGAAAGGAAATAAAAGTTTCCATGTCAGCCTGAATCCACAAAGTTATGTAAAAAGCACATTTGTCAGCAGGAAGAAGAAAGATTTATACCCGAGGGCCAACACGAAGAAAATTACAGGAAAAAAACCCAGTGAGCTATAAGGTAGTTGCAAGAGATACAATGATAGGAAGATTCAGATAATGAAGAAAGATGAGATAATAGTTTTAGAGAGATCAAACTATGATCAGAAGCCTCTAAGAGTGAATATGGAGAAACTTAGCACTGAGTAGGATCAGAAACAAGACAGAAGTCGAATAGAGAAGAAAATAGAGAAGGTAAATGATTCGGGTTGTCTGGAAAGCGAGTTGGAAAGTTGACTATTTGAGTTAGGGATTGAGAAAGGCAAAAGTTGTGAGTTTTAACTCCAGCAGAGCCATTGACACAGAGCCAAGCTATTCAGTATGATGGCAATTAAACTCACCAACAACAACAATATTAACTGATGGACAAAGAAAGAGGGCTTGGTCAGTTCGATCAGAAATAACATCAAAAAGAGTGCAGTCTTGAGATGAAGGAGAGCGTTATAAAACAAAGAGAAAGGCGATATAGTAAAGTGGTGGTAAACAAAAGAATAGTCTGTGGATTCAAACCTAGTTTCCCGATATATGGGTGAATTCTTACAAATGTAAATGCACAGGCCAAGCATGTGACTATTGGAGTCTTTACGAATTAAAGGAAGATAACTATCTACACCAAGATTACAAGAGTAGACAGCTGAACTCAAATTAGTCTTAAAAAGAGCAATTAGGTCTGGTGAACTTTGCAAGAGATAAGACTTAATAGAAGAAAAGTTACTTCAAAGATTATGAATATTAGTGAATGATAGGTTTAGAGAACTTAATGATGATGATGGTTTTTTGTGTTTCATAGTTTTTTTTTACTTTATTCATTTTTAAATTTGTTAAGGAGCTTGACTCAAAGTATAGATAGTACTCAGTACACTGTTTAATAGCCTAAAAAATTGCCTCATTACCATTAATAAACCCTACGCCGTAATAAAGATCTCCAAATGTGGCCAAGACAGTGCACACCAAAAGTGCAAACAGGGACACCATTTATGCGCAACATAGCCAAGGCCGGTGCAATAGGGGTGTGTGACACCCCCCAAAATTGATTTTTAGTCGGCAAACTGGACCCATATTCGGCAAATTGGACCCTTTTAGACTAGTTAGAGGGCAAATGTCGACCCTTTCGATATAGGTTAGACAGTCGTCAAGGCAGTTGGCAAATTTTAAAAAAACAAGGACCTTTTTTTTTTTTTAGTCGGAAAAGTTGTAATGACCCCCCCTCCCCACGTGACACCTACTCGCGCCGGCCCTGAACATGTCACTGTTAATACTTTGATATTTTTCAGCTGTTGATGGAATCAGCCTCTCTGAGAGCTACTACAGAGTTCAGTTCGGGAAACCTGAGTACCAGCGGGCCGCAGAACCATAAAACTGATTTTTAGAGGGGGGTGCTGTTTTATTCGTATTAGTTTTTTGTTTATTGGATTTTTTTGACATTTATTAAAGGTAAGAATAATACTAGTGTTTATTTATTTAAATATTCTTTAATATTTAAAATTTTATTTCATCAAGCAGAAACTATGAGAACCATTGTTGTGAATTTAAAAGAAAACTGGTTGTATATTTAAAAAAAGAGGAAAAACATATGAAATTACTCAAAAGACATTAGATCCTATAATGATTAGAAATGCATTAAAATGACAAACTGTTAATAAAACAAGGGCCGACTAAAAAATAACAAAATGTTGATAAAACAAAGGCCGGCTAAATAATGATAAACTACTGATAAAAAAAGTGCCGAAACAACAACAACTGAGCATACACAACAAATAATAAAACATGCAACAGTTTTTAATCCTTTTGTATTTTTCTGCCACATTTAAAGGGACTACTAAGTCCCGAGACATATTAAAGAGAATGTTAAAAAAAAACGTCTGAGCAAATTATTTTTGATTAAAACTAATTAATAAATGTATACCAAAAAAAAACAAATTTTGTTGTTTTAGTCGAAGCTCGTCTTCTCCATTTTCTGCGGTATTTTGAGTTTGTAAAGTAAACGTGATTTTCCAGGCGCATTATACAGACTTGATAATTTATTCAAGCGCGTTTAATTCATAGGAGTTTTAGTGCATGACGTCATTGGAAACATCTAGATATGCTTTAAAAATTCTAGATATGCTTTAAAAATATTACTTTTAAACTTTACTAAAATAGCTAACTATAGTTATTTTAGTAAATTTATATTTAGCAGTTAGCTATTTATTTAATAACAAATAAATAGCTAACTGCTTTTATTTATTATTTTTGCTGTTTATTTTCTTTTCTTTGGTTTGCTTGTTAATTTAGGTGTCACTCCTTTGTCTAGTTTTAAACTATATGAGTGATACCTAACCTAATTTTGTT